CTGCTGAAGCAGGGCAACCTAGAGCCAGCTGCCCAGGACCCTGTCCAGATGGCTTTTGAATATCTCCAAGGATGGAGACTTCACAAACTCTCTGGGCAACCTGTGCCAGTGGTCTGCGCCTTCACAGTAGGAAAGTGTTTCCTGATATTCAGAGGAACCCCTCTGTGTTCCAGTTTGTGCCCATTGCCTCTCGTCCTGTCACTGGGCACCACTGAAAAGAGCCTGGCTCTGTCCTCTTTGTACCCTCCCTTCAGGTATTTGTACAGGTATTGATGAGATCCCCCTGAGCCTTCTCTTCTCCAGGCTAAACTGCCCCAGCTCTCATGGCCAAGAGTGTCCTCAACTAGTGTCCTTTGACCATTGTGATGTGGTGTGCATCCTGGCTCAAGCCATGAGACTGGCAATATAAAGAAGCGGCTTGCACTGAGGGAGTTACACACCACTCCAGAAAGTTGCATCTTGTAGCTAGGGTGTCCCAGTTTTTAAGTCCCAGTGCTCCGATTCACCCCTTTTGAAAGCTCTCTGGTTCTGCCATTGCCATACAGCACTTAAGGGCACTCTTGGTCTCCAGTGACAAGAGCATCAAAGCTGAACTGGGAGCCCGATGGCCTCATGAACCAGGCACACTCTCTCCCCAGCCAGCCCCTGCCATAGATTTTTATGCCTCTTACTGGCCCAGGGCTTTACTTCAGCACGTTTAGAGCAGTTATGGGATAATGGCAGGTTCTAGAAGGAAAACTGGTCACAAAGACCAACATTTCCTGGAGTGACTCAGTGTGGGGAAGAGGTAGTGCAGGAAGCTCTGCTGGGCTACAGCAGCCTTCGTGTTGCAGGGCCTGGCAATCGTTTTTACTTCTGTTTAAAGGCGGAAAGTCATCAGCCACCACAAAGATGGAGAGAGCCAATAGTGTCACCTGTCCTCCAGCTGACTGCAGTGGCAAGCACAGCCATCAGGAGGTACCATTTCCAAAATACGCTACATCTTCTGCCAAAACAGGTGGTAACAGGCCAGGTCTTCTGGCAAACTGCAATAAATTCATTGTCCTGAACACGTGGTTCTGAAGTACTATTACCCACCAACCAAAGAAATGTTTGAGATGCCGCTCCTGTTCTTTCCAGCTCCAGTTCTACAGGCCCAAACCTACTATTTTAGGTGGTTTAACTTAGGCTCAGCTCTACAAAGACAGTGCTGATGTTACCACGTTTATAGGGTGAGAGAGTCTTTGTATTAAAGGAGATGAACCGGTGAGAAAAGTTGAAGTCTGCTATCCCCCTCTTCCATGCAGTGTAGAATCTATGGTAAGCCCAGCTCTGGCAACGGCAACAGCTCCGAGTCTGCTGTATTTCAGGTTACAAGAAGTGTGAATGTTAGCAGTGGGCAGAGGGAATGGCAGAGCTTGCAAAATTCTAGCTACAGATGTTGCAATTTTGCATGAAGCTGAAAGTGGCCACCTTCAGAACAAACCATCTCTTTGAATGAGGAGGAGGAGAAGGAAGTGATCCTCCCTGTGTACGTGGATAGCAGATGTGTACAAAGAGCAGCTTAGAAAGCACTGATAAGGAAACAATGATTTGGTTTTGCTTGTTCAAATCTTTATCAGAACTCCCATAGTGAGTGCCTCGCGAAATATTATTAACAACATAATGTTAGGCTAACTACCAAGGTTTCAAAGGACTTTATCCTGGAGGTAGCGTACAAGCAGTAAATCAAACTTTAACATATATATTGAGTGTTCTGAGAAGGAAGGAAATAATTAGGGGAGAGGAGATGGAAAGTGTTCTTGTACAAGATGTCTAGCACTTTTCTGAGAGTCAGTGCTGAGTGACAAATGCTGTCAGTGCCCTACGAATTGGTTTCCCGCTTGTTCCAGTGTGGTCCCTGTCTCCCCACCAGTGTGACTGCACAGCAGCGCTGCTGTCAAAGCCTTAAACCAGAACTTTCTCTATGCTTGTTCCAGATGCTCCAAACTCCCACTGTACAGACACAATCTCTCAAGAGCTGCCAAGATTTACTTTTATTTAGGATTAGAAATACTGAACCACAGAAAACTGTTAAAAGTAACAGAGGTTGACTCAGCCCTGTAACAGGAGGGTACACACATGGCAATCGGGTGTGAAGTCAGGCATCAGAGGTATTGCTGCACCCATAGGAAACAAGGGCACACGCTGCTCAGAATTGCATGCTGTGCTTTTTCAACAAAGCAGTTGAAGGCGGCAGTAAAATGGGTACAATGTATCAAATCCTTTACAAACAAACTTTTTTTTTTTTTCTTCTTTTTTGTTTAACCATGCCCCGATTTTGGTGCCAAGAGGAAGTTTTTGCTTTCAACCAGTCTCATTTTACAGATTCGTGTTGGGTGACAGTTCCCCCCGAGCAAACCTTTTAAACTCATAATAAACTTTTCTTGAATTTAATCCTATAAGTTTTTCTCATTATTTCACATTCCCCTGTACAATAAAATATACTTTTAAAAAATCACTATGCATCAATAAACATCTGTAGACAAATTACATTAATAAACATATTTTACTCTCTATATACATGTTGGCAATGTCAAAGCTTCAAGATTCACATGGAGGTCTGCAAGACCAAGGAAATGTACACAAATAACTTACATTTAGGAAAAAAACAAAAGCTGAAGAGTATTTTTCCACGTTATTGTGGGTCACAGTATTTAAAATATTTTTTTTCTAGTTATTCTTCACAACCCCATTGTCTCAGCAGAGAATGATGAATGAAACTGAAGCAGAAAGAAAAATCAAGTAGCAGTTACTGATTTCAGTGCAGAACTAAGTCAAGTAAAGAACTACACTTGATTCTTAAAGAATATACAATATATCGGAGACTTCTCCAGTGCTAAGGCTTCTTCAGCATTTAGTCTTTAAAACTATCATCCTGAGACGGGAAGATTCCAGTGGATATCACTTTTCAGATTTCAAATGGAATGATTCTAGTGCTGAGCTAAACCATTCCTCAGTCTATACATTAGACTAAGTGGTAAAATACACATATATCTTGATGCCACGTTTCTACTTAATACTTTTTTATGGCCCTGAAAATGGAAACATTGGCATCCAAACCCAAGATATTCCAACATAATAAAAAGGCACTGAGCTATAGTACTGTATATACAGTAACATTTGTGTTTGCATAGATCAACAACTTTGAATGCTGCAAGGAACTAAATGCAACCAAGTAACTAAGAGGAAACATGGAAGCAGCAGGAACTCTTGCTTAATAACCAGCGTGGGGTAAGGAGTCTTTTACAAAACAATGTTCAGGCTGTCAGCTTCAGTCGTCCTTCATAAATTAAAAAAGTGTTCTTAGAGGAGTGTTTTCTGATCAAAGAGCTGCAGGTCAAAACGGACCCAGACTTCACCTGTTGGAACTTCATGCAGCAGTAAGTGTTTAGTCATGGGGCCTTTGCTTTCTTGTTCTGTTCTGATTTTTGCTACTGGAACTTCAGTGCGACCCAAAAAATCTGTTGGGCAAACGAATAAGAAATTTCATTAAGCAAAAACGTTAAGGTTAGAAAATCTGAAAGTGTCAGGTTAAGCAGCAATGCTACGTGGTACGTATTCAGTTCCAGAGCACTGCTCCCAAGCTTCCTGTTGACGAGCCCTCAGCCCAGTGTAAATCAACCAGCAGTGACAAAAAAGGGCCTTTTTAGAAGACAAAAATGCTACGGAATTAGGATGGAGAACATGCCTTTATGTCACAGTTTTTTTCTAAGGGCTTTAAAAATACAGTTCCCTTTCAGAAACACAATTTCAAATGTTCTCCTGTCTCAGAGCTGGAAGGTCAGAATTAAATGATGGAACCTCTTTACAAGTCAGCTGTGGTGCTACAAAGACCAAAAAAAATCAACTATTTTGACTCAACCAATTTTTAATTAGGCTTATATATCATTCTTTTCACAAGAACAATGACCTTGAACAATTACTGTCACTAATAGGTTTACAGTCCTATTCAGAAATTATATACCCTCTTTGTGGCCATTTCATAGATAAATAGCTTTGTGTGTTTGTGTGCATTAGAAAGTTCACCATGAACTGAAAAAACAGCCGCCTCAGCTGTCCAACGGGGAGAAGCAGCCTGGCAAAGTCACGATACCTCACAGGAGAAAAGCCTGACCTCTAGTTACACACAGGGCAACTCGGGTCAAGGCAGAACCTTGCAAATCTGAAATAATCAACTGTGTGTCAGAGCCCTGAAAAAGCACTTAACCTTTAAAAAAGTATTAGAAGCTATCGACTGCCAAAAACATGTTCCGTTTCCAAGCGAAAAAAGAAAGCTTATCAAGCTGTTGCACAGCAACAGCTTGATAATAACCTAGCACCTTATTTTCATGCACCTATAGCGAGAGAGAAGAACTACTGCTTTCAGCTTCTCTGGCTCTGCAGTCTGGCCAAATAATAATTCTGTGTCTGATACAAAAGCCAGAGTGGGATCAAACCTGACTGCCCAGAGCTGTTGGCTCTGGAGGGCTACAGAACCTCTTGAGCAAGGAGGTGGTGTTTTGACACAACATTTCACAGGAAGCAATCAGGCTCTTGGAACTGCTGGTGAGGAACTGTGTACCCCAAGTCACAAAAAAGCTTTCTTTTCATAAAACAAATGTTCACTCTTACCATCGGGTGAGAACTGATCTCTGTCAAACATGGTGATACAGAGGACATCCTGATACAGATCCTTAACGAAGAACTGGCAGTTGAAGTTCCACTTGGGGTTCAAGGTGTCCTGCAGGGTCCTCGTAGTGTAGCTCTGCGAGCCCATGCTGATCTCACAGTACGGGTTGCTCTTCCCTAAACACAGAAGCAGCAGTGAAACACCTCTGCAGTGCAGAAACCTCCCTCCCCATCTGGGGGCTGCACAGACACGCATCGATGCTGCTGTCCAGATGTGGGTCAGGCAATGGCTATATCCTAGAGCAGCACAGAGCTGGTTCTTCACTCGGTCCTCTGAAACTAAATAACGGCTAATTTGTTCAGAAGCTGTAGCTGAATCCACAGTATTTCTCAAATCACCAAACACTTCTCAGGAAGCCTTTCCAAATGCCGCAGGAATAAAAGTGATTTGACGTTATTTCCTTCACTTACCATTGGGCTTACAGGCCTTTAGTTCTGTTGCTTCAATCACATGCACCATCAAGCGTCCTATTCCTGAGGTCTTCTGTGAGCGAGCTGAGAACAAAGAAGTCAGAAATAAACCGTAAAAACTGGCAACAGATCTGAAAAGGGAGATCATACACAGAGACTGTGGCACCCTCCAGAAAAGGCCCTGCCCACACGTCTGGGTGGCTGAGAGCCAAATAGAGAACTCGGTAGGTACCTTGATAAGCCTTTTCCCGTTTCTTCTTCTCAGTTTCGATGTACTGCTCTGATGCTGCTTTGATTTTCTGGACCCAGGCAGTGCTGCAAAGAGCAATCCCTATGGTCAGGATCACACCACAGGCAGGAAATCCCGCAGTATCAGCGACTGCTCTAATCTCTTTTGCCTTTTTTTTACCCCCACTGGGTTTCAGAGGCATCACGAATCAAGTTAGTTCAAGGACTAAAGTGATGGGAGTTTTTGGATTTAATGCCATGTTTTCACATCAGCCTAAATAAATGAAACTGGAGCTGCTGCTTTATTAAAGACTACTGGGTCACATTAAAGACTGACCAGAACTAGGGAAGAACCTATGGGACACTGGACTTTGCAGCCCTGCAACTGTAACATCGAGGGGCAGTAGATGTGACTGGATTCCACTGCAGAGCTGCCGCACAAGCAGAACAAAATCAGAGAAAACTCGTCATTCAAATGAGAGTCAAACGAGTTTATTTCCTGGCCGAGAGACTAAACCCGGTTCTTGAACTCAGAGACCCCCCATGTCTGCTCACTGGGAACAGCCTACAGCCATGATCA